CACTGGTCTCAGGAACCCTTTCCTCCTGAAAATAGCGTTTATGTGTGGAAGGTGATCACACAGTGATGGTTTTTGTTCTTTGGTGTCTGTTACCTGATCCCTTCAACACCTCGTGTTCACACAGGCTTATGTGCTTCTTCTCACCACGGTCAATTTTCAATAACTATGTTTAAAAACAAAAAGAGTTGCCAGGCATTTCTTCTAAGAGGCCTCTGGGTGAACTTGAGCCTCTAAGCTTTTGGTTAGCTGCTGAGTGCATTAGCCTTTTGCACCACCCAGAGCCTGCAATCGATAGGGTAAATTGATTAAAAAAATCAGTCGGTACCTCGAAGGCTTGAGCAGGCCTGACCCTCTGCTAGTGCTGTCAGGCAGCTCCATATGGAATGACATGAGGACTGCAGCATCTTCGCTCGTTTCTCTCTTCAGGACTCACCATTATTCTCTTTGTGCTCATTCCTTACGATTTTTATCATTTGATTTGAAAAGGTAACAAGCAGATATACCTTCTTGTTGGGTCTATTTTGTAAGCCTATTAATTATTCTGGATTGATTCTAAAATGGAAAGATATTGGACTGTTTGAATACTACATTTCTAACTTTATCAGCCAGGGAAAGGCCATTTAATAAAGACTCATTGCAAATATTGAGGGTGGTGGTAGATGGAATTTTGACATAAAACCAAAATGGCAGACTGTGGACTATAACCATACTAATGCAATAACTAAGCAAGCAGACTCAGTTATTTGTAAACCTCCTCTCTGAAAGGAAAGAGATGCCTTCCAGCTAGTCAGCACCATGAAAACTATGGGTCCTACAGACAAGGAATTCTCACTTAATCGGTTGTGAGAAACTAAAACTAAGGGCTATACTATGGTCACATGATTTTCTTTGCAGCCCAAGGATCTGGGACCAGGGAACACATCACTCTTGCCTGGCATTGTAACCTCCAGAATCCAAATCTCTGGAGATGGGCAGTTGGCAGTGGTCATAACATAATGTTAACTGTCTTTTTTTTTTTTAATTATTTTATTAGGGGCTCATACAACTCTTGTCACAATCCATACACACATCGTGTAAAGCGCATTTGTACATTTCATTGCCCTCATGTTAACTGTGTCTTTAAAGAGTAGTTAGAACGGAGGGATGCTCAGGAAAACAGGGGAGCCACCTACTACAGAACATTAAGTACCTAGGAAAACCTAGCTAAGGGAATTGATTTTCCTTGGGGAGTAAAGCTGATTGTCAAGATAAGACAAAGTGAGATAAATTAGTCACAAAAATGAGTGGTCTGCTGTGTGTCCTGCACAGGTACACATGGATTCAAAGACCAGAGTGGAAAGTAGTCTTTCTTATATGACTTGGTGGCTTCCATGTCATTTTTGCTTACCTCTTTGAAGTGTTTTTTAATAAAACTAGCCCTGAAAAACCTGGGAGTTAAACAGGGCCACTTGGAATGTGTTAATCACAAGTGCCATTTTCTGACTCCATTGAAATAGATATTGCAGACCTGTTTTTAATCTAAAACTGTAGCAGTGATTCTGATAATTTGATAGGTAAATTTGTGTTGGAGAAGAAACTATGGTCACAGTGGTGGCTCTGCATGTGGAGCTTCCCTGACACTTGCCTGCGTGGAGTCTGCCTGCATCACAAGGTCAGAGCTCAGATGCAAAGGACCTTTTCACTCCTGTTCAAGTGCTCCTATGGGTTACTCAGTTGGGTTTTGTGGTTGGTGGGTAAATTTAATTTAAAAATCAGAGTGGGAAGGTGAGGTGAACATTTAGAAAGGCGAAATGGGAAAAACTGCTTTTCTCCCCCTGAGAGTTATCTTAGCATCTGCTCAGCAGCACTGTCAAGCCCAGGACATTTTTAAAGCAAATTGGGAGGGCTCAGAGTGTAAACACGGGAAGGGTTAAAAGTACAGGCTTGACTGTTAGCAAATGTTTTACTGCGGAGTGCATGACAGAACAGTACTGTGGCCAGCTTACTGGGCCAGAAGGAAGCTACAAATAGCAATGGTCATTTGTGTCATTGTGGCAACATACAGGAAAAGGATTGAGTCCTCAGTTGGAGACATTGTAGCCTCTTCTTCTAGAAAGACTTTTTTCCAGCTCCAGCCTGGCAGCTCTTCAAATGGAATCACAAAGGAACATGACACTATAAACAACTCCCCTCCTTCCCAGACAGGGCTGCATAGACAAGCAGGCGCTCATGGCCAAGGCTATGGAGGCAGCAGGAAGGGCAGCTCCTTGGGCACCAGAAGCCACAGCAAGCAGATGGAAGCAGTGTGGGCCCAGGAAGGGTGACAAGTGGACCAACATTGGCAATTGGCCCTTGGGTGCTCGTGCAAACAGTAGGCCCGGGGCTGGTCTACTTTTATCCCCTATTTCAAAGGAAATTTAGAATCTGCTGGAACTAAGTATCTGACCAATAGAAAGGGAATTTGCCATGTGGGGAGGAACCCCTTTCCTCACAAAAATATAAGCAAATGCTCACACCCTCGCGGCTTCTCTTTCATTTTGAGCACTGTGATCCTGTCTCTCATTTCTTTGGCCCTTCATCGTCAACACTCCTCTCTGAGATGCCATGTCAGATTCTGTTTGTTCTCTAACTAATTGTGAAAGATTTTATATGTACAGTATATGATTGCATCTTGGCTGAATGATGCCAGTTTCCTCATTAGTCAGAGGTAATAGCTGAAACCTGAGATGAACTTGGAACTGAGTTCTCCCTCAGATGTCATGCTCTTTAATGGGAAGGACCACCGAGGCCACCAGGCTGCTTCCTACCTGGACGCAGAGGAAACACGCATCACTAACTAGGCCTTAAGTGCTGACTTTGGAGGAGGCCATTTCCTCCTTTGTGGAGAAGGCTTGGTAGGAGGCAGGACCATATCAGTAGAGTAGAGGCTTCTCAGAGAGAACAGACAACATTGTTTCCTGATTACTGGGTCTCAGTTTTGTTCAACATTGTTGGTCTTTTGTTTTATAATTTTCAACGTGGAGGTGGGACGAGGGATGTGTGTGTGTGTGGAATTTCAGGTTGTGTAAGTCCATCTAAATTTCACTGGTCTCAGGAACCCTTTCCTCCTGAAAATATAGTGCGACAGGACACATACGTATTTGGATTTTGAGTCCTTGTTGCTCGTTATTATATGTATACTGTCTGTGCGTGTAGAAGGTCTGGCTTACTGTGAGCTGGCAGGTCATCTACCCTTTCCTTTATCCCTTGGATTGAAGGGGGTTAGCCTCTGAAGGCGGCGGATAATGTGGGTACAATGCCAAATGAGTCAACCCCCTCTTGCTAGTTTTCTCTGACCAGAAAATGTAGCTTGCAGTGTAGAGACTTGCCCTTCTTGGTAGATCCTACTGCATTGTGGCTCCCTTTACAAGACTAAGAGACATTCTTGCATAAACAAACGAACAAAAAGCCCCTCACAGATACTGAGTCGATGACGACTCATAGCAACCCTATAGAGCAGAATAGACTGGCCCTTTCAGTTTCCAGGACCATAGATCTTTCACAAAAGCAGAACTCCTCATCTTTCTCCTGTGACTGAGCTCTTGCGAGCTATGAAGCATGACACTAGACAGAGCATTAACTACAGCCAGAGTCTTCTGGGCTTGTTGGGCGTGCTGTACTGCTCAGTCTTCAGAACTGCATGCAGAACAGTGTCTCCCTTGAGCCCTAGCCTCCCCCCACCCTCCGAGTTCTGCCTCATCGTGTGTGTGGTTTCCCCGCCGTTGCCTGGACATCCTCATCTATAGGCCCTTTCTCTGGTCCAGACCATGCTCTGGTGTGTTCCTGGCAGTGCTCCCTGCTGCCTGCCCAGTATGTAGTTGCCTACTGTTGGGCAGTAGCTCACTGCTCTGGCATCTGGGTGTGTAAATATTTGTCAAAGGGCAGGGGCGTTTTCCCATTCCCCAAAAAGCATTCTGAAAAATGTGCCTGTTTTCTTAGTCATATTTCCAAGTTGTGATCAGTTAGCCCATTCATTCCTTGCAGTTGGCAGACACTGGCCTGGCCTCAGCTGGCCACATAAAGTAAGTATGCAGCAACTTCCGGCACAGAAACTTTCAAGCTTCAGTAGCAAGAGTCCTGGACCTAAAGGAACCATGGGTGATAGAGTCACATTAGGGGAGACCGCTGTTTCACTTAGTAACAGAAAGAACCTTAACACTGCCCTCTGAAGATGTCTCCATGCCTGTCATGCACAGCAATGAAGGCGTCAGTGGACTTGGTAAAGACAAGAAGGCGGAATCGGGCATTCTGGGAGAGAACTTTACTCTTTACTCTTCTTTGTTTGTGACATTACTTTCAACCCCCGTGTGGTGTATATAGGTTTTATGTTGCGTCCACATCTGCCTTTATAAACGCCACAGTGCTGAGCACTGCCAGCTTGGAGGTGTTTGTCTAGTCCCACGGGTGGCTTTATCCTAAGCCACGGGCTCTGTCACTTGAGTCTACTGAGGCCAGAACAGTTTGCCGCTGCGCAGTGGTTCATTAGGGTAAAAAGGAGGCGTTAGCCACGGTGCAGTGTTTTCTGTCTTTGTACAGAACAAAGAGACCTGCATATGAGGACTGAACTCTTGGCCTTTGCTTGATCCACAGTAGGCTCGAACAAACTGAGCTCCGCATCTATTTCATTTGCACACACGTGCTTACCAGCTTTTCCTCTTTGTTTGCACTTTTTAAAACACCTCACCCCTCTTCTAGTCAGAATTTTAACTCGGGCTCCTCAGCATGTAAATTGTACTTGAATTGAATGAGAAATAGTAACGAGTTCTTCACATCAACAGTTTCTCCACCCCACCCCCCTTTATATAATACAGCTCTATGAAAGGCCTGAGTGTTCTAAAACATAACATTTCTTCACACAGATCATCAATTTCTACATGAACATGCTGATGGAGCGAAGTAAAGAAACGGGATTGCCAACTGTGCATGCGTTTAATACCTTTTTCTTCACTAAGTTAAAAACGGCTGGCTATCAGGCGGTGAAACGCTGGACAAAAAAAGTGGATGTATTTTCGGTTGATATTCTTTTGGTTCCCATTCACCTGGGAGTGCACTGGTGTTTAGCTGTGAGTACCACTCTTAGAGCTGATAACATCGAAACGAATCATGTAGCTATGGAAGAAAAAGAGTGAGTGGGAGTTCTGCAGCTTCACTGGAGAATTAAGAGAAAGTAATGGTGTGCAGTAGTCGAGTAAATAAAAGTTGGAAAAAATATCAACAGACTTCGTGTCAAGAGGGGGAGGTCCTTAGACTTTGGAGGAAGTGGTGGAATTTCCTTTTCTGGCAGAATGTGAAAGGGAGTCAAAGCAATGTCAAGGCCAGGAGGCATGGGGAGAGAAAGAGACTGTCAACTCAGATTCCATGGCTCTTACTTTCTGCCTCATTATGACTTGTATGCTTGGCACTGTGTTATTTTTTATGGCTCTGAGAACAAAGATGTTAGCTTAATGTTGTTATAAAAGTTATTTTACAATCTGTTTTGAATTACATTTGAGAAAGGCATATCCCAAAGGAAATTCTCAAGGTAAAGAAACAAAGCCTGGCATCTGTTCACCATCTTTCTGAACCAAATGGAGCTGATGTCAGTTGACCTAGGTTTTCTGAAGGGTATGTTGTTTCTTCACTGCTGCTCCCCTTGCCGGTGGACAGCCTGAGCACTGGAAGGGCGTCTGTTCAGCCCTCTGATTGATCAGCCTAGCTCCTGCCATAGTTCTTATAAACCATCCCAGTTTTTTTCTTTTCTCTGCTGATTAGCATGGTATAATGCAAAGTAGCAATCCAATTTGTCATGCTTTCCCAGGAAATCTGGCAAAATACTTCAGGTATCAGGGAAGGCAACCACTGCGAAATTGCGTGTCCCCCCCACCCCTCCCCACCCCACTTTATAATAAACACTTTTTTTTCCCTTATTTCCAGGTTGTGGACTTTAGAAAGAAAAATATTATCTATTATGACTCTATGGGCGGTATAAACAATGAAGCCTGCAAGATTCTCTTGTAAGTAGAGAGTTGAGGATGGGTTTGGTGTGAAGCATACAAGGGGGTACCCCCCTCCCCCCAAAAAAAACAACAAAAAAACCCCAACTCCGCTAGGTAGAGCTTTCATAGTATGCATTTTTCCCACTAGGTGAGCATCGAGCAACGTGCTCTTAGTGCACCCAATTGCATTGCTTGGGAAGGTTCTCTCTGGTCATAATGAGTTTTTTTGTAAAAGCAGTTTCGCTTGAACCTCATTTTTTTGGTGGCCCATTTAAGAGAACAGTGTGCGGCTGTGAAATTTTGTTTCCTGCTTAGGAAAAATGCCACAGAAACTATTGTGATGTTGAACGCAGCTTACAAGGATAGCGCTATGGGAAAAACTCAAGTGTACGAGTGGTTTTCTTGTTTCAAAAAAGGTGAATTATCAATTGATGACAAACCTCGGATGAAAATGTCAACTCATAGTGCATATGGAGGTTCCACCAGGTCAGACTGTTCATCAAGCTTTCTATTTAGGGGTTCTGAAAAGATAGCATAACAGCGTGTGACAAAAAAGGCCTTATTTGTGGCAGACGGGACTGGTTTTGCTACAACAACAATGCACCTGCTCTTGGAGCCATCTCATTGCAACAGTTTTGGGCAAGAAACAGCATACCTCTCTTGCCCCACGCATCTCACCCACCGGACCTCACTCCATACAGTTTCTTTTGAAGGGAGAGCAATTTGACAACGTAGAAGAGGTGAAAAAAAGGGGTGGGGAGGGACTGTGAGCCACCAAAACAGATGAGTTTGAAAAATGTTTCCAAGCATGGAATTACAGATTTGACAAATGTGTTCAGTGTAATGGAGAGTGCTTTGAAGATGATGAGGTGGTTTTGTAAAAAATTGTAAATACATAGCTTCAAAAACAAAATGCTGGGGTGGGGGTGGGGGGAATGAGCTGATATCAAGGGCTCAAGTAGAAAGCAAATGTTTTGAGAATGATGATGGCAACAAATGTATAAATGTGCTTGACACAATGGATGGATGTATGGATTGTGATAAGAGTTGTACGAGCCCCCAATAAAATGATCAAATAAAAAATTAAGTAATTTTTTAAAAAGAAAACAAAATGCTGGTCTTTTTTGGGTACTCCCTGGTAAGTTGTGGTTTTCCAGCTATTAAACTCAATAGCTGAGATCCACAGTGGTATGGTTATTAAAGGAAATCTTCATTTTAACAAGGAATGGATATTTAAATATTAAAGTAAAATATAATAATGAATAACGCCAAAAATGTGCTCATGTGGAGTCAGTTACTATCATAGTACACATAAAGTGGAAAAACTATAATCATTTAATTCAAACTCTCCTAATTTTTTAGATGAAGAAAGCAAGGCCCCCAGAAGTGAATTGACATCCTCAGATCCAGCTAGTTAGTGGCTCAGCAGGGAGCTAGAGTTGAGAACCCTCTATACCTAAACTCCTCTCTGCCGTGCCACTGTGGTGGTCAAGAGGGAGATCCCAGGATGGTGGACAGTTTGTGCCCTAAAGAATATCCTATGTCCTGTGTACACTCCTTGATTGTTGTTTGGAATCAAACCTCATAACAGTAAATAAATACTTCCATAATGCTATAAAACCCTTTTTCTATTAGGTTGAGTCTAAAGAACCACATAAGCCAAGGGTGAGAAGAAAAAACTTATTCCTCAGGAGGAGCAGTAGTCAGAGAGAGTTTGAAGGTCAGATTCAGCCACCTTGCTCCTCGCGGTGGGAGCAGTGAGAGGCAAGCTCAGGTCCTGGTGGGACTTAGCAGTCCAAGGGTGTCCTGCTCCGTACGATGGACCGTATTCCTTAGAGGAGTAGATGACCCACTTCCTGAGGATTATCAGCCTTATTTCCAAGGTAGCAGTTGTCCTCAGACATCCCCATAGCTCCTCTTGTTCTTTTTCAATACTTTTAGGCAATACCTAAAGCAAGAAAGCGTTGACAAGAAAAGAGAAGTGTTTGATACCAATGGTTGGCAGCTCTTCAGCAAGAAAAGCCAGGTATGTTTCATCTTGATGAGGTGGAAATCCTGAGATTAGGATATTTGGGAAGAAGAGGATGTTACTGCTTGCATCCCAGAACCTTCTCTCTCTGTCTCTCACTCTCTCTCATTTCTATTACTTAGAAACAATTTTTTAAATTGTGGTTTTGGGGAAAGTTTACAACAGCAAATTTAAGTTCCACTTCAACAATTTGATACAGTCGTTCCTGTGACATCAGTTGTAGTTTTCTTACTGTGTCAGCATCCTCTTGATTGTGTTTGTTCTGTTTCCATTGACGGAGCTCCCCTCCCCTCGCCTTCTCGTCTTTGAGTTTGGGGAGCTGCTGATCGCTTGGGCTCATGTCGTTAGTGGGTTGTCTGAGGGAGCCCTGTACTCAACTGTTGATAAAGTGTCTTTTAGAAGCCCGGCTATGATCTGGCTGGAAGGTGACGCCACTACTAGTTTCAATTCCAAGCTCAAAGGATGGAGTAGAGCCATAGTCTTGGGGTTCCTCAGCCCAGTAAGTCTGGCCATTTTTCAGAAATTTTATATTTGCTCCACATTTTTCTCCCCTTTGGTGTTTCTGGCCAGAACTGTCAATGGTAGTAGCCAAGTCCCAACTAGCTCTTCTGGTCTCAAGTTAGAAAAAGCTGTGGTTCCTGTGGGTTATTATCCTGTGGACTAGATTCTCCTTCGAGTCTTCCTTATCTTTTGCCCTAGAGGAGTAGCGACCAATAGTTGTATCTTTAGTGGCCTCTCAGAAGCTTTTAACACCCCAGACACCACTCATTAGACTAGCATGGAGACCATTATACTTGTGAATTACTTTAGACAGATTGACTTAAGTTATTTCCTCAACCAGAGGTCCCAAGTTTTTTGACCAGATAGACCAGTCTTAGGAGTTCGTTGGCTATGTCTAGGGAGTCTCCATATTGTGACCCCTTGGTGCATTATTATACATATGGGTATTTATTTTTCATGTATTTTGGAGAATATACCTTTCTCAGATACATCATTGCCAGAGACACCTCTCCCTTCCCCCCAGTTTGTAGGTTCTCTTTGTACTCTTTTGGTAAGCACCTAGTTCTTTCTCTTCAGGTTAGTTATTGGTACTTTGCAATAGTAAGTTATTTGTGGGAAGGCTAGTAACGTTTCCTGTGGAGAGCTAAGTTTTCTAGATGCCCAGCTAGTTTGTTGAGCATTTTACTCAAGTGAGGAAAGAATACTGATTGGCCCTTTGGGAAGGGACATGTGTTTTCAAACTTAGATGCCCTGGTGGTCTAAGATAGCCTCCTGGGCAGTTAATTTATAGGCCTAACTGAGATGCTGTATTTTTTTTTTTTTCTGGGAGTTTCTATGTTCTGAGTGGGATCAGAGCCATTTGTTCAAAATTTAGAGAAACCTGTGAAATTTAGGTTCAGTAGTTCTTACTTACAATAAGAACAGAGGCACTCAGGAGGATGTTACCCATTTGTTGCTATTATTGCTCTTTCAGGAAATTCCTCAGCAGATGAATGGTAGCGACTGTGGGATGTTTGCTTGCAAATATGCGGACTGCATTACCAAAGACAGACCAATCAACTTCACACAGGTGAGCTAGGCCTTCAGCAAGGAACTTGGGGACTGCCTTGCCTCCAGCTCTCCCTATAGATGTTTTCTTTTCATTTGCTCTGCTTGGAGGGCCTCAGCCTCTAGCATGTGCTTCAGCCTACAGATCATAAGGCTGGTGCTTACCGCTTAAGGCATATCATAAGGGGAAAACGAAGGAGAGTCGTAGACCACATCTTAGTTACCATATATCACACAATGCTATAGTCAAGGAATCCTATAGTCCTGTAGCAGAACCTTCTTTTCACACTGTCTGTCTCCCATCTCCTTCAAATTCTTTAAGAAACATTGAAGAGGCCAGAGCACGTTGTGTTCCATTGCCCTGTGTTTGCTTGGCAGTCAGGTTTGGGAACAGGGACCACCCCTTGAACTCTTAGTGTGATTGTGGTGCTGCTCTTTCCCTCTTTTTCCTCTCTCAACTCTTGATGCAGCTGATCGCTCTTGTCGTTTCCATGCGTGGCGTCTCGGAGGCAAAAGGAGGTTGAGACTACAGTTCATGGCCCATTTTGATGTGGTCTTCACTTTACGCTGCTATTTGAACCAATGGCTTTGCCAAAATTTTCCACCATAAACCCTTGTCTAGCCTAGGTTGAGTTCAGTCTCGCAGTTCCCTAACTATTCACCTAAAAAAAATGAGTTAAAAAAAAAAAAAGGTCAAGCCTCAGGCACCTCTTAAAAATTCAGCATAGAGTTCTTGATAGATACAATTTTTCACCAAAATTCATGGAGATAACTGGTTATAGCCTGGGGACTGCTGTCCATGCTCAATAAAATTGTTGGGCTGCACCCGTATTTTAAGGAGATGAGAAGGAAAAGCAGTTGGAAGGGGAAAAAACCTAATATAATCAAGAATGTGCAGTTTGAAAGAACATAAAGGCTACTGAGGCTGTTTTATTTGGGAACGTCCAGGAGAGAAGGCGTCGGGATGTCTGTTCATGGTGATTTGGTCTGGATGAAAGAAAGGAAAATGATGGTGTCTTTGTGTCCCCACAGCAACACATGCCCTATTTCCGGAAGCGGATGGTGTGGGAGATCCTCCACCGAAAGCTCTTGTGAAGACTGAGCCAGCACACGCTGACGGTGTTGGGGACCAGCTCTGTTTTCCACAACTAGAGACCCTGTAAACAGCTGCTCCCAACCCTTCGTTCTTAGAAAGCCCGTGATCTGGACCAGGCCTTGGCAAGATGCATTCACAAGCACATCTGCCTTTCCTTTTGTATCTCAGATAATATTTTTGCAAAGCAATTTTGGTGCTGTGAAAGGGATAAGGGACATCCCTAAGCTGAAGAGAAAGACTTCACTTCTTCAGTTCTGCCATCGTCTTTTCAAAGGGCTCCAGCTTCACTCAGTTCCTAATAAGGGAACGGAGAGAAGCTTGGAAAGAATCTTGGTTTCATATAAACTCTTGTTGTTAGGCCTTATTACGAGCTCGGGAAAGGCATTAACAAAGAGGTAGGGATAAAAACCACCAGCATATACACGCACACATAGACACACATGTAATTTTTCAAGACGTGTGGTCAGGAATGTGACTGTAAACTGGACTGTGGGCCACATGCCTAAGTCTCCTCCAGGACTTTTTACATGCCCTTTTGTAACGTTCATTCGCTTCTATAAAGGCTTTTTAGTCATCTGTAGTTTCCTACCAGCCTGAGACGTAGCACTTGGGTTCTGGGTGGGCCCTGAAGTCCCAGGCAGTCTTTCCCTGAAAAGCAGGGGTGTGCTTATGCTAGCAGCACACGATAAGGGACAGACCCACCCAAGGAGTGGCTCAGTGGGGCAACAAGCACCACTTTGACTGCCGCCTGCTTCTGACCAGGAAGAAAGAAGACCTGTCTAGCCTAAAACTCGGCATTGGCTGAGTGCAGGTCTAGTTTGGTCTGTGGCTAGGTAGTTTAAATATGTTTCTAACCACAGAGAATTTAATATATATTTTTCACAGGAATATGCTCTTTTCCCCCTTCCCCTTCAAGGCTGAATGTGTTCATCATTTTAGCCTGGAAATTTATGTCCATTTTCCAAATTTAGCTCCAGCACACACAGATCCCAGACCCTATGTGTAGAGTGTTTGTGAATTTCCTAAAGGGATGTTTTAAGGCCTGAGTGAACTTTGTCTTAGGGGTCAAGTTACAGAGGCTGTGAGATTTTCAACTGGAAAACGGGTGGAGTTTGGACTACTCAACTTGAGATTGGAAACCTGCTATTTCTTTTGTCCCTTCCAGCATTTCCTGCTACCCTCTCAGAGCTCCTCAGGCGTAGATTATGAAAATGATCCAATGCCAGTGTCATTTTGTACTTCTGTTCCAAAACAGGAACCTTTTATACTTTTTTCTTGTATTGTAATAGGTAGTTTTGTATGAAATATTTTCTCCTCGCCCTTATATCCCATCCTTCCCAGCATTGTGCTTTCTCCCTGGGCTTATTTGGAAATTTTACTCTGTTTTGTACTAAGCTTGTTCAGAACATTTTTCTATGTTTTACCACCGGTTACAGTTGAAAAGAAAACTATTTTTTTTAAATATTCCATTGTTAACTGAATGTTAATGTTTCCACTCCAGCAATTAGATGTCCTTCTCTTTTTCATAACAGCCAGTCTTTGGGGAGCAAGGTGGGGAGACCATCTTTTTTTTTTCTTGTGTGTGTTTGTGTGTGTGTGTGTGTGTGTGTGACAAGAAATGCGTTTTCTCTCTGAGTTGTTGGGACCATTGACCTTACCCTTTAGAAAGCTCTCGTCACACAGTCTGATTGCAGGGCTCTTGAACATTGTCTGATGCTTGATGCATCCTGTGCTTAAGTGACAACTTGAAGGTGGCAGGATGGTAGAGTTGGACCATGAGTCAAAATCCCACAGTTGTCTGGAGGACTCAGAACAAGAGAGTTGGGTGGATTTATTGTTTGCCCATTCGGGTAACATCTGTCATACCTTCCTCACAGACTTTCTACAGACCAAAGCAACAAATATTTATTGACATGTACAGCAGAAAATGAAACGATGCAACAAAATATTGAAAAAATATATAAGAAATGATTGATCTGTGAATTTGGCCCCCTTTCTGACCAAAACAGTTTTATGCAAGATAGAGTTGCAGATCTTGAGATCACATGCTAAGCATAAGCCACGCTGAGAGAGGTGTTCCGTCTAGACCAGCATCTTAGTTCAGTGTGGAAGCCTAACATCCATCTGTCACGGACCACAAAACTCGTACTCTCAGTGTTAAAGATGGGGAAGAGGGGCAGCTGGGTAAGAGATCATGCTGATCACTATTAAGGGAGAACTTAGACACATGTATTTTATATGAAAGGAAAGAGAAACGAGATTTTGAACTAGACTACGAGTCTTGAAATGGTAATCCAAACTACCTCTCTGGCCTACCAAGGGCATAGTAGGAATAATTCCAATTGTGTGAATGGTTGGATCAGATATCTAAGGTCTTGTAGTTTCTGGAATGTTACTGAAAGCCACAGTGCTGCTGGAGACAGGAATCAAGGTAGAGATTCAAAGTTAAAAGTTTAATGCCATTGTTCACAGTGGCTTGGTTTCAGTCTTGTTCTAATGGGCCAGACACAGCTGTAGAACTCCATATTGAGTAGCCTTGAGTCATGACTTCAGGAAGCTGCCCTTTCACCCCAAAACAACACAAGTTCTGGGAAAGGAAAGTGTGTGTGGGAGAGGCACTTAAGGAACTCAGGACATTCAGTCAGCTGGTTACTATTACTCCCAGGTTACTACTTTATTCCTTTAATAAATATGCTACAAATAAGAACACATAGCCACGTCCCATCTCTTTGGGATCTCCCCAAACCACATTATCCTAAAATCTCTTATTTTACCACCTACAGAGTATCCCTTGTAATCAAAGTAATATAACTCCTTAAGGTATTATTTGCCACTGTTTGTTGGATTGTGGCAGCTTGTGTGTTTCCGAGATGCTGGAAGCTAAACCACTGGTATTTCAAATATCAGCAGTGTACCCATTGTAGACCGGTTTCTGCAGAGCTTCCATACCATGGTAGACTAGAGGATGGACTAGGCAGTCCATTTCTGAGGGATGATGAACCACTACAAACCTTAAGAATAACTATGGAACACAATATGATTACAGTGCTATCAGATGACCTCCTTAGAAGGCACTCAAAATAGGACTGAGAAGGACTGCCTCTTCAGAGTTGAGTCCGCTGTGATGTAGACGGAGCAAAGTTTGGGGGACCTTCCAGTTGCTGATGGAGCTTGGCTCAAAATGAGAATAGCAGCTGCAAACAGTATCCAGAGTGTGGAGCACAGTATGAATCTGGGGAAACTGAACGTTGTCCAAAATGAAATAGAACACAAAAGCTGTCCTAGGCAGCCCAAATGGACTGAGACTGGCCACTTTAGATAGTCATGATGTACTATGCTGTACATGACAAAGAGGAATCATGCCATGTTCATTGTCAACAAAAACCATTCCAAGATCAACTTCAAAGTACAGTGCTGTCTGTGATAAGCCTACACAGAAGACCACCAGTTAATACAAATCATTCAGATTTACACACCAACCGCTAAAGTCAGTAATGAGAAAATGAACTGTAAATTTCTTCAGTTTGAAATTGAGCACACACGCAATCAAGATGCATTGGTAATTACCGGTGATTAGGATCAAAGTGAAAGTTGGAAACATCCGTTGGAACATGGACTTGGTGACAGAAATTAAGCTGCATCACATGATTGAATCTTGCAGGAGTAAAACCTTGTTTATCCCAAATATCTTTTTTCCACAACCTAAATGTGACTACATAAGCACCTTGCCAGACGGAACACAAAAGCAAGTTGGCTACATCTGTGAAAAGAGGCATAGCGCAGTATCAGCCAGAACGGCCAGGGGCCAATTGTGGAGCAGACGATCAGTTGCTCCTATGTGTAAGTTCAGGTTGAAGCTGCAGAATGTGAAAACAAGTGACAGAAACCGCAGTATGACCATGAGTGTATTCCACCTGACTTTAAAGAACAGATTTGAAACATTGAACATGGATGACCAAAGTTCTGACAAGCTGCAAGGTGACATCAAGAACATCATACATGAAAAAAGTAAAAGGTCATTATAAAATAATATAGAATAAATGAGACTGGTCTCAAGGAGTTGGAGATTAGAGATGTTCCAAACATTCAAATCAGCCATGATCCTCTATTTTCACACACACACAGACACACACACACACACTCCTCGAGTATATTTCCTCATGTCTTGGCTTCTGTGACTCCCTGCAATGTCCTACAAAGCTTATCACCCTTTGAGGACATGTCTCACTTGGTAATGGTGGTTCAGTCCAGATGTGAAGATCAGGCAGAGGTGTGCCAAAATGGAGGGTCCAGAGTCAGCCAAAAATGTCCATTGGGTCCACCAAAGCTCAGTCATGAAGTAGGGATGTGTCCAGGTCAGGTGACGTGTGTTGGAACGAGTGTTAACGTGCCCCCACGATGGGTGGTGTCTGATTTGATTCACACCCTCCACTGAAAATCTAAAACCAAACTCCCTGCCATCAAATTAATGTTGACTCAGTGACCATATAGGACAGGTTAGACCTGCCCATTTGAGTTTCTGATTCTAGCTCTATAGGAGAAGTCACTGTCTTTCAGAGGGGCTGGTACTTTAGAAACGCTGGCTTGGCAGTTAGCAGCCTATTGTGTAACCACTGTGCCACCAGAGCTCCCGCTACTAAAATCAGGTCTTAATCCCACATATTCCTGTCCATTAGTAGAGAATGTCCTTCAAAATGGAACAGTAGCTACACGCTGCTAAGTCCAGATTTCTGTAAGGAATTCAGGCTCACTCGCTGATATCCAGTCAATACTGAGACTGTTTACTAGACTAGAAAACCCTGTCTTTCTCCCGTGGCACTGTTGGTGGTCCTGAACTGCTGACCTTGGAGCTCAACACGTAACCACTTTACCACCAGAGCGCTCAGAAATATGGCTAGAAGGGTCATATTGACTCAACTCAGCCATTAAAAAGACCAAAATAGATGTCTTAGAGACTGAAATATCTTTGATCCCTTCGACACCTTGTGATCTCACAGGTTGGAGTGCTGCTTCCATGTGGGCTTTGTTGTTTCTCAGATGGCCCCTTGTTTATCTTCCAGCCTATAGGACCCTAGATTTTATATCTTTTGACAGCCAGGCACCATCAGCTTTCTTCACCACATTTGCTTTAAAAAAAAACATTGTGAATGAGGGGGAGTGCAGAGTGGGGACCCAGGGCCCATCTGTGGGAAATTGGACATCCTCTTGCAGAAGGCCTGGCCGGGGAGATGAGCCAGTTGGTGCAGTGTAGCAATGATGAAATATACAATTTTCCTCTAGTTCTTGAATGCTACCCCCACCCCACTATCATGATCCAAATTCTACCTTACAAATCCGGCTAGACCAGAGGATGTACACTGGTACAGATAGGAACCGGAAACAGGAAATCCAAAACAGATGATCCCCTCAGAACCAGTGGTGAGAGTGGCAATACCGGGAGGGTGGAGGGAAGGTGGGGTAGAAAGGGGGAACAGATGGCAAGGTCTACATATAACCTCCTCCCTGGGGGACTAATAGCGGAGAAGTGGGTGAAGGGAGATGTCAAATGGTGTAAGATGACAAAATAATGTTTAAATTATCAAGGGTTTATGGGGGCGGAGGGAGGGGGAAAATGAGCTGATACCAAGGGCTCAAGTAGAAAGCAAATGTTTCAAGGATGATGGCAACATGTACAAATGTGCTTGACATGATGGATGTATGGATTGTGATAAGAATCGTACGAGCCCCCATTTAAATGATTTTTTAAAATGTGACATCAGGATTGGCGGAAGGCTTGTTAGCAACCTTAAGTATGCAGGTGACACAAATTTCCTTGCTAAAAATGAGAAGAACTCAAAGCACTTGCTGATGTAGAATTGCAACCTAGCTAGCAGGTCAGTGGTGTTAACCCATCAGCAACTACTCTGTCCTGATCACTTTGAGTACATTATAACTTGATGGCAGTGGGTTTTAGGAGGTATTAATTCTCATGGAACTCGTCTGATAACTAGACGGACAACTCAATGTTGGCAGACACATCATGCATACTGTTTAACGAGAAAACCATTCACATGCAAGAAATCCAGATTATGCTTACTGATTCTGACTTCTCTATAAACTCTTAATAGTTCAAAGGGAAAAAAAAGACTGAAATGTTCTGATGCACACAGTGTAGTTAAAGTGAATGAACGAAAAGAAGTAGACGAATGGACAGAAAAGCTTAGAAAGGGCAGTTCAAGAAGACAGAGTAAAGTATTATGAAATGTGTCAAGACCTGGAGTTAGAAGGCCAAAAGGAAAGAACACTGCAATTAACACGCTGAAAGAAAGGAAGAAAAATTCAAGCCTTGAGATTCAATATTGAAGGATTCTTTGGGCAAAATAGTGAATGATACAGGAAGGATCAGGATAAAAACACTTGCTCAACATTCAGCCATTTCAAAAGGTAGCATATGATCACGAACTGATGATACTGAAAGAAGTCTAAGTCGCACTGAAAAAGAAGGATCCAGGAATTCACAGAATA